TGATTATCCTCAAACATTTGACTCATCACTCTAATCACTCAATTATTTGACTATTTTTCTTCATTCAGTAGTTCCTTTGTCAGCCATATCATGGATCCTTGTGTAGTTTTGTATTGGGGGTGGGAAGAGACAACGGTTCATTCTTATATCTTCCTCTCAGGGTGTAGCTGTTCTTGGTATTGCACTCATTGCCATGGGGGAGGAGATTGGTTCTGAAATGGCACTGCGAACATTTGGACATCTGGTGAGTAGCACTGCTTACTGTCAGTTTTCTATTCTTGTTTACATTAACTGAATACATCATTGTTCCCCCGTCTCAGCACCCTTCGTTTTTTTATTCTTTTGATCTACGTCACATTTTGCCTTCCTCAGTCTGTTCAAAAAGAGACCGTTTTGTCTGGTTATCTTGACTGAACGGTACTTATTTTTTTCAGTTCACCTCCCATTCTTTTGATCCATGTTACATCATTCCTACGTTTGATCCTCCTCCATATATGTTCCTCCTCTTTCTGTTACGATCCGTCAGTGGTTACTCTGTTCTTAGTCATCCTGATGTCCTTAATGAATCAAACTAAGATCACAGCATAAAGAGTTCCTTTTGTATACTGAGGTGTGACCACTTAAGTAGGCAATTAAAATAATTAGAGTCAGGTTGTTGTTCCTCTCTTTGCATCGGAGTGATGAATTGACACCCTCTAAGACTCTCTTATATTCTCTGTATTCCTATCACCAGCTGCGTTACGGTGAGCCCACTCTGAGGCGAGCGGTGCCCTTAGCCTTAGCTCTCATCTCCGTGTCCAACCCTCGTTTGAACATCTTGGACACACTCAGCAAGTTTTCCCACGATGCTGACCCTGAGGTGTCCCACAACTCCATCTTTGCCATGGGCATGGTTGGCAGTGGTAAGTCTGGTTATAAGCATCCCATACAATAATGTTAACTGTGAAAAAAAAAAAAAACCCAGCTGTGACAATACTGAGCTCCTGTGTAAGTGTAGTCTTGGAATTTTTTGACTGAACGGCCTTGATGCACACTAACCTGTTTTTAACTAAAGAAATAGATAATTGAATGCAATAGTCATGGCACATTAGCAGTATCATGACTTGCATATATTAAGATAAACACACCTTTTTGCTGTTTTTAAATTAAATTGACAAAACAAAGCTGAACTTTTTAATGAAATGAACACCCACTCATTAAATAGGTTCTCTTCTATTTTGAGCACATACAAATAAGATGCTGTCACAGCGCTGTTACTATAATCATGCACTGATATCACACATGATCTGTCAAAGGGGGACAGCTTTCCTCTATTAAAAGATTCAATGATGTATTGCCGCTTCAACCATGATTCATTGGAATTTGTTATGGTGTGCTCAAAATAAAACCTATGACATAAAAAACACACTGCCACAATTACAGTGCAGTAATGATACAATAAATACAGTAGTGCAACCATATGCCCATAAAGACACGTTTTTTTATACAACCAGTGAAGCGTTTAGGATGCAGATGAATTCCGGATAAGTGCTATTGTGGAAGAGAGATGTTCTAGTCTTACCCCACTGCTGATTTTCACTAGAAATAGCCTTGAATACTTGAAGGTGTATTTTATGTGTTTGACATTTTCAGTGATGCACAATGCCACGTCCTCTGGGAGTGCCTCTAGTGTTGACTTCCTCAACGTATTTAAGGGCTCGTCATTTTTTCCTTTTTCTCAGGCACAAATAACGCCCGTCTGGCCGCCATGCTGCGGCAGCTGGCTCAGTATCACGCCAAAGACCCTAACAATCTCTTCATGGTCCGACTGGCTCAGGTGGGTGGCAACACAAAAGGCACTCTGTACCAGACGCAAATGAACTTTTGTGAAAATGTGAGTGTGTTTACGAGCTACTATTGACTGTCTGCTGTTTGTGCCTCCACAGGGTCTGACTCACCTGGGCAAAGGCACACTGACACTCTGTCCCTACCATAGCGACAGGCAGCTGATGAGTCAGGTCGCCGTGGCTGGACTGCTCACCGTGCTTGTTTCCTTCCTCGACGTCAAGAACAGTCAGTTAATTTTTCTCCTGTTGCCTTCGCAACATCTCTCTGCTTACACACACACTAATTGTCCATTTCTGTTTTATAATTTGAAGGTTGTAATTAAATGACCCTGTGTTAACATTCTTCCTGGTGTTCACTGTGTGCGTTACAGTAATCCTGGGGAAATCTCACTACATTCTCTACGGCCTGGTAGCAGCCATGCAGCCACGTATGCTGGTCACCTTCGATGAGGAGCTACGACCACTGCCTGTGTCTGTCAGGGTTGGACAGGTGAAGCCTAGAAAAATTAATATTAGTATAATCAGTCTGACAGGATTATTTGTAGAAATTGCCATTGTCAAATTAGTGTGAATTGTTTTTGTTTTTTTGTTTATGGAAAACTGTATTTATCAACAGAAACTGCTCTGCTAGATACTTGTACGAATTCTTAAACTATGGTCACTCGCTTGCCTTCACGTGTGACTGCTGTAATGCTTTGAAAAAGTTGATACCAGTCTGAAATGAAAAGCTGCAACAAGAAGCTCTTTGACTTAGCATAAAAGCAGGGGAAAACGGTTTTCCCTGCTCAGTCCATAGATAACCACCTGCCGCCACCTCTAATGCTCACTGATTAATGTTCATTCATTTCCCTCAGGATGAATTAAGTTCAGTCTTATGTTATCATGTTGACCTCACCATTAGGTTGCTAGGCAGTCACTGTGACTGGCCAAGAAACAGTTTAGTACATAGCCCCCCATAAACCACAGCTTGTTGTTTTTGTATGGATTAAACAAACGAGATCTATCATGGTAATTGGAGTCAGGCTAACAGTCTCCTGGCTGTAACTTCATATTTAACGGAGATCGGCTTTTGGTCTTCCCCCTAACTTGCCACAATAAAGTCCATTATCATATTTTCCAAATATGTAGAACTATTCTTTTAAGTTTTGGATGTTGGAGTGTGGACCAACATCCAACACTTATTTAGAAATGTTTTTTTCAGAAACCAAAATCCAAGAATTCTGGTCTGAAGGTGAGAGCAGAAATGGCTGTTTAACATGACTTTGTCTGATGTCTGCAGGCTGTGGATGTCGTGGGCCAGGCGGGCAAGCCAAAGGCCATCACAGGTTTCCAGACCCACACCACGCCGGTGTTGCTGGCTCACGGAGAGAGGGCTGAGTTGGCCACAGAGGAGTACCTCCCTGTCACCCCCATCCTGGAGGGCTTTGTTATCCTCCGCAAGAATCCCAACTATGAAACCTAGATGGCCCCTTCCCTAAAAAAAACCCCCCATTCTTACAGGCCTTTTGCTCTGTTTGTAAGGGTAGCCCTCCATGGCTCTTGGCAGTTGTTATATTTAGTTGTTTATTGCATGGCTGAAAAGAGCAAGGCAGGCCTATCCTTCTTCCTCGCTGTGTCTTCTCACTGGCCCAGCTCCAGCGCTCATTAAAAATGGATGGTTGGGGTCTGGTTAATTGGACTGGGATCACACAGGGGAGGGTAAAACTGGGACCTCATCCACTCTACATAGATGGTTTCCTCATTGCTCTAATTTTGTTCCATCTCTCCCCACATGTACTGAACCAGCTGTTTGACTGACCCAGGGCCAGTTCAATGTGAGAACTGTTCACCAACCTCCTGTATATTTCATCAGTAAATGGGAAAACAACTGCTCAGTCCCCATCAGTGCTTCACATGTGTTTCCCCCAATACTTACATCCTCAGTCATCTTTTGTAATTAGAGCATTTAAAAGTATGTATTCTTCATCACGTTTTTCTTCTGTTTTTTTTTGGTTTTTTGTTACAGTACTGTAAAAGATTGAATCAAAAATAAAAAAGTCTGATCCATATGGTGGAAATGTAATGGCTGTGTGTTTTATGTTGATTTAGGTGCAAAGTATGTTATGGCTGACTGATGATTTACTCTCAAGTGCTGTCATTCATATTCAGTAGGCTGAAGGTTCTCCACAAGGAGGAGCTGTTAAGTCATTATTAGACAGTTGTCTGCAGTGTGTATATTTATGGAGGAAAGTAAGGTCAGCAATAGTTGTGACATTTTAGCACTGATGCTGTTAGAGCATTTTTACTTTTTAAGTGTGCTTTTAATATTTCTGCTATTAGCTGAAATTCGTTAATACTTTGTCAACTAACTTCCAGGAGATATGAAATACTCAAAAAGAGCTACAATTAGCCAATATCATTATTTTTTAAAATAAATGTACCATTAGTTTCTCATTCTAAACCTCTATGAAGCAGATGTAACACTGGGTCTGTCCATCCTTCTCCATGGCTCCAGGTGTATGACAGCAATTAGGCTGTGTATCCTTGGTCTTTGATGAAGTTCAGTTTACCCTTATGAACATTTGCAAAAATGTATTATGGGGTTTGATTTTAAAGATGGATTGTTGACAAATCTGAATGGTTTTGTCAGTGTATGTGTTATATATCAAGCTCTGGCTGTGTGCCATGCAATATAATGCACAGTCTGTTCCCATAAACAGTGGCTGATGCGTATTTTTACCTTAGCACAGATCAGCCCATCAAAGAATTTTAACTGACTTTTCTCTTCAGGGCAATTATTTAACCTATAATGAAACCTATTTATAACCTAATGAGAATTTAACAGTAACCATGCAGTGTTGGAACAATTTATAGATGATGGCTAATTTGAACTTTAACGTGAAATCAAACATTCCTTACTTTTATCTGCATATAAATTGGACCTTGTCTTTATTTTGAGAACAAAGTTTAAATGTTTTGGCAACCATTTAAATATTAAAACGTCTCCGGCGTGTTACTCATGTGCGAACACAATGAACACAAACGATATGAAACCCCTTCACTGTCTCTACAGCCGAGAGCACGATTACTGGGGAAGTTTCACGTGATGGGATTGTGGATTTCGCCCATCACTACCGGCTTCCGGGAACATTTTCCGTCCGTCCGGCTCTGCGGACTCAAGGAGAGAAAGGTAACGGCCGCGGTCCTGGGCTGAACTCTTTATTAAAACGCTCAAATGTTCAGACGAGTGTTAAGTCGCTGTTACACAGAGACTCTGGGACGCCATTCAAATGTATGTTTGGTCTTTTAGTCTGGAGATGTAGCTCAGTGCGGTGACTTTGTTCAGTGGTTGCCGCTGACTGCTGTTCCTGCTGTGTTTTCAGGGATTAGCTAGCTAGCTGGTTGCTAGCATCCCATGCTAATACGACGTGGGTGTTCTTTCTTCACTGTAGCTGCTCCGGCTAGCGAGCTAACACTAAGATAGACAGTCAGTGTGAGCCTTCACTCGTGTGCCGCTCAGAAGCGCATTATACCGTGTGTGATATATTACATATGGAAAGCGACAAGCAGACTGTCGCGTCACAGTGTTGTTGCTTTCGCCGGTTAACGTAATTCATGCTGCTAGCTATCCAACCGCTTGCTAGCCTGCTACACAGTGAGCTATAATGTAGCAGTAGGTTAAATGACTCCAGTTGTGTCGGCGCTGTGTTTTCTGCCTTGGTGCCACCTCCGAGCAGACAGTGATGGAGGCTGTGTTCCTCATGTGTCAGCCTCGGTGTTTGTGAAGAGATGTCTGCTGACAGCTGTGATTGTGGAAAACACGCCGACTGATGTGAACTTTATACCTGAAACCATGTGATGGCCATGTAACGGTGGTGGCAGCAGTCTGAAGCCAGCTTTGTTTGGCGGCAATGTATGTAACGTTAAAGGTGGTTCACAGAAACGGTGGTGGTGCAGCGAGGTCTCTGTCCGTGACATTACTCCCCTAGTTACCCAGACAACGTGAAACAATACCTGGAAGCTAACGCTGCCACAGATGTAACGTGGATAATAAAGGGAATAATACTAATAAGACAGTGCCGGTGGAGGTTAAAGAGCGGCTGGTGAATGTCTGACAGGACAGTTGTTGTGGACTTTGAAAGCTGTGACACCTTCACTGTGGCCTTGTTGGGTTGGCTGACAGCTCGCTGTGCCTTCAACTTATCCGTGGTAATGGAAGTTATGCCTCTGGGTTTCCCAGCAGCAGCCCCTGTAATGCATGAACGCAGACGTAGGCTGTCACGATGGTGGTGCTGCTGGTAATCTGGGCGAGATGTTACTTTGGCTGCGAAATGAAACGGAGGTGTCTGACTCATTCTGGCTCACGTTAACTCATTGTTGTCACGACGTCGTTGACAGCACTGCAACTGTGTTTATACCTAGCTGGCCGACGCTTTGGAGCAGTTGTAGTCACTGAATGTGAGTAGCATATTTGCATATTGAATGCGAATGTAGGAGCTAATAACCGGTAGCCACCTCCTTTAGCTTGAGTTATCTAGGTTAGTATTCCCATTCATTGATACGGCCGCCGTACGCCTCTCTGCACTGCTGACTCCTTAAAGCGTCGTTTGTGCTTGGTACGTGTTTTGCTTTTCACGAAATACATGGTTGTTACAGCCGATATCGGTTGAGGTGTGGCTGGCATGAAGCCGGCATCTGGGGCGTGCATCGCGCCAATAGCAGGAGAAACCACGTGGTAAGCCCAGATTGGGCCTAGGAAAGTTAGCAACATGGCTAACAGCACAACATAGAGCAGCACGTCCTCGCACCCTTATTTGTAGGTGTTTTGGCAAGAGGGAGAATTTAATAGCTGTGTGTTTATTATAATGCCCTGCAAATCGCTGTCTTTGTCGTGCGGTGTGTGTGTGTGTGTGTGTGTGTGTAGACGTGCAGACACGCCCCTGTGTCATAGCAAAAGTGTCCCACAGTTGAAGCAGAAACACCGGTGTTTCACCACTGGATATGAGCGTCGCAGCTGTCTTGTGACACTGACAGTGTGTCAGGTTGTTGGTTTGGGGGTCGGTGTGTTCATGATTAAAGCCGTTTGTTGATAACTTCATCCTGCTTGCTGCGGCAGGCATGAGGCTGATGTTTAGGACTGCAGACATGTGACCTTAGCTGAGAATGTGGGTCCAAAATGGATGCAGTTTCCTATTCATAGCAACGGACACCATACAGCTCCCATGTCTTTGTACATCTACACACATTAATTATTTGGTTACCACTTATCAATCCAAGAGAATATGCAAACATGCTTCAGTCAGACTGAAACTAATAGCAGAAGTGCAATCACAGGACAAATGCATGATGTGTCAGAGCCAGGCTGTCACAGTTTGCCTGACATAAGGACACTGCTGGGCTTCCTGTTGTTAAACTTGAAAGTGTAGAGTCTGGGCATGTGTGTGGGTTTTGGCAGAATTTTAGTTAACCAGAAGAACATGCGGGGGGGGGGAGACGACGCGACGGACGGACGGACGGACATGCTGTGCTGGTGTGATGCTGTGTCACTGGAGTTTAACTTTCACTGTCTGTACATCCTTCTCAGCTTGAAATGTCTGAGTGAAGCCACATTTGGGTGAATGTGATCTTATTGATCAGTGTTAGTGGCAGTATTGTAAAGAATGGGTTTGTTCTGGTAAATCTGTGTTTAGTGTTTATTTAAGCTGCTGTAGCTTTATGTTAAAGGAGCGTGCCACTCATTTTACATATGAAGATCACTTGTCTTCTGTCGCATTGAAGGAAGCTTTGTCTCAGATTGGTTACTTGCGTTACAAACTGGGGATGTGGGCATTTAAAAGATGTGGGCAGCAGATAGGGATTGTTTAATGTCAGATGCTATTGCTCTGTGATGGCAGGTACAGACTTCCATAACAGCCTGCAGGCCAGTGAACTGCATATAACAGGGAAGTTAATGAAAGTGATGGATGCTGGGCAAAGCAGATGCTGAGGATTCAGTGTGTGTAAATGCAGTAGTTCAGTGTATATCATGACATTTGCAAACTATCTTGAAATCTGCAGCAGGCCATGAGCTCATAAAGCCAATGACTCATGTAGTTTTTCACTGACGGCCACAGGCAGTAAAGTTTGCTTAGTTTTCAGCATGGATCATATTGGGGAAAGGCCGTTTTCAGCAAGCAGTTATTTAACAAAAGTTGCACATTGAGTGTGTACAGTGAGCGTAGACCATGTGTACGCAGAGACGGTGGTAAATTCGCAGTGGCTCCACCCTCTATAGGTGACACGATAGCCTACTTCTTCAGCAAATGTTCTCCCCGTCCTCTTTATAGGGTCATGGGAGTGCATGCAGAGGCTTGTGCAACATTTGAAGGAGCATGTCTCACTAGCAGTGGTTCTGGTGGCTGGATCTCCACGGTGCTGCATGTCAGACCAGCTCAGATGACTGGGCTGTGTGTGGTGAGGCACCTGCCTTGCGTTAGCTCACATAACTCTGCTAAAACACAAATTGACTCCAAAACGAGTGCTTCTGGGGTACCCCTCTCCGCTGGTCCTTTAGTGCTGTGCACTGTTCCCTGAATTTATACTGGTTGCTAAGTTTCCTATATTCTGCAGACTAACCTGGGGTTGACTGTGTGTGTTACTGGCACAGTAGTTGTTCAGAAAGCCGTTCACGTCTCACTGCTTCAGGGTAAAGCATTCCCCCAAACAATTATAGGTTTAGTTTGTGTTCTCTGGTGAGAAGAGTAAAGCCAGGGAGGCGGTGTAGGTTGTTGGTCTGAGACCCTCTCTTTGCCCTGAGATTGTTTACTCAGCATTTCATCTCCCAGCCAGCCCCGCTCAGTCTGACAGTCTTTCTGTTTGTGGATGATCCTTTGAACTGCTGCCTGCCACCCCTCTACAGTCCTTCCTAACCCTATATATCATATTGCCGCCGCTCTCCCTGCTCCAAGGCTTCAGCGTAAGGGGGGCGAGCCTTCCATCGATGTCTGTCACTCAGTGTTTTTCTAAGCCAGGGGTTTAATCTGGCGATATGGAAACCCTCCCTCAGTTAAAATCAATTATCCTTTGGCCTTCCTTTGTTTGTGTGCTCATATAGTCATGGTAACAGTGGCGATTACAACCATCTCTGCAGTGTGATTTCCTCCTCTTTGAGAAACGAAAAAAAACACCCTGATTCATCATGACTCAGGCTTTTTACACTGCTGCTCCTGTGCGTGCGTGGAAAGGGAAAGGGTGTGTGTGTGTGTGTGTGTGTGTGTGTCTCAATAGCAGAGCTAATGTAGGCTTCGGCTATAAATACCATATGTGTCATTATTGTAACCTCCATATGACCTAAGGAGGATAATTACAGTGGAATCAGGAAATGACCCTTGAGTCAGAGGGGTGAAGGTACTATGTAAAGAAATTGTCTACATAGTTTCAGTCGTTGAGACAAAAACTGTATTATGTAGAGTTTGTTTCTTAAATATATATGTCAGTGTGTGTTCAGACTGAATGCAAACACACTTTGAGAGGCTGTGCAATTGTAAAAGTAGCCAATGGAAGTATGCCAGTGGATGCAAAATGACAAAGATTTCCTGTGGGAGGTGTGAACTGAGGCACTAATGCCTAATGCTGCTAATCACCAAAATACTTCCAGGATTCAGTTTACCTTACATTTTGTTAAGAAAAACCTCAACTCCCTGTCATTCTGTAGTTTGCAATCCATATTATTTCCACACATGTAGTTTAACTTTTTTGTGTGGGGGATACAATGGGAAAACTGAGTGTTCAGCCATAGTTTATAAACGTGATACAAATTTATAACAATCAGTGTGTCAGTGTCTTCACTTTAGGTAACTGTTTTGTTGCTTACACACTGAAGGATAAATTCAGTATCACTCAGCGAGGTAAACAGATTTTAAACTGCAAATAAATAAAAGCCCATGGTATCTGTTCTGATATAATGACAACACCCTACATTTTGGTATCAGAATCTATATGCTGCTGACCACATTTCCTGAGTTAAAAACACTGATATCCTGTATTCTCAGTATCTAAGCAGACAAGAAGTCAGTTGTTCTTTGGCTACAAAGTGCCGTCCAAAATGGTGCAGGAAATAAATAATGCACAGCCGAGTCTTTTGCCATCAAGTGGACAAATTCTAGTGTATAACGTGACATAATATGTGTCACGTAACATTTTGTACGGTCACATATGCAGTTATGTATGGACATGTAGATGTGATTGGCTAAAATAAGAAAGCTTTTAATTAATCTACTGGACTGGTGATCATTTAGAAATGCAGTGTTGCTGTTCAGGAAATGTAACAGAAATCCTTTCCGTGTTGTCCCCTTTCAACCTCTCAACAAAGCTGTGTTATCTTGTAATAGATTGAATATCTTCAGGTTTTGGATTGTTTGTCACACAAAACAAAACATTTCCTGACATCAAGCTGGGCTCTTCTTTCTGTGTTGGACTTTTATTGATGGTTAATGGATCAAACAATGAATCAGTTCCCAGATAAAATAATTGGCAGATTAACTGTTTTCCTTAGTAGATGTTTTTATGTAAACAAAATATTGTGTAATGCAGTTTATAGTTGTGGGGTGTAATTGGCTATAGAGGCTGTGTTGACTTGAACATGCATGTCCTCCTGTTTGTTTCAGTTCTGTTTGGAGTTGGTGTGTAATTTTTCAGCCTTTTTGCAAATCTTTATCACAGTCTCAAATAAGGTCTGCGTGGTGCACTGATAATCAAGACCAAGACTCATTAAGACCTTGTATTACAGACTGTATATGTACATGTATGCTGTCTCTGTATAGGGGCAGAAGAGAGATGTTTTTGGCTTACCAGGTGAATAGGAACTTATGTCTTCCAGTACACAGTCCTGTACTGTGTGTAGAAATGTGGGCTCAATGGACTGTTGTAAGTTGAGTTAAAGGTGTGATTTTGATGACCCACTTGCTTTAATCTCTCACTGGATAAGGTGCTGTCTAGAGCGGTAGGTGTACTTAACGGGGCACATTGCTCTGGCGGTGCTCTTTAACAACACTCACCTGGATTAACCCTTTTAATGAATTAATCCCATACAAATGGATTCCACAAGACTTGTTGTTTGTACTACCTTAAGTCCAATTCCAGTCATTTTAAAACTGTAACTCACCACTAATGTATGCTATGATCCTTTTTTCTGCCTTGCAGATGACACTGCAGACTTGTATCATCAGAAATCCTATTAGTTATATGCCTTTATTAATCTACTTTAAAACTGTTAAATGTTTTGTACATACTAACTTCTTTGGTTTGGTTACGCTGTAACTTTGAAATGAAAAATGGAAGAAGGGAAATAAAAAAGGAAATTGAAATGCATTATTAGCCAATATATGCCTATTGTTAACAAAGTTTCTCTTTCTGTCTGTCTTTTAGGACAAAACGTTCCTCGGGTCATAAATGTAAGTATACAAATGACTGACTATTAACAGGAAAGATAAACTTTAAATGTTTAGCCCTCCTGGTAAATCTAAATGCTACTAAAACTCTACACATACTTGCATACATAATTTTGAAGACCTATTCAAGTAGTAAAGCTTTACCCATTCTCTAAAAACACTCAAATTGTAATACATTGTGGCCCAAATGACTGATTGTGACAATAACTTGTGAAATACCCGGTATCCTTTATAAGCAGACACAAGACAGAAGACCCATTTAACCCCCCTGTTCTCTCTTTCGTCAGATTTGTACACAGGTCCACATCTGCCTCCCCATGCAGAACTCCATGAAATGAATAAAGCACCACAGCCTATAACAGGACCCCCGGCCTTATCCAGGTGAGAAAAAACCCTGCTTCTCAACTTCCTGTATTGGTCTTTTAGGAACGTCTTGCTCCTATCACACCCCCCCCCCCCCCCACTTGTTTCTCAAAGAAAAAGGGCTGCTCGTGCAGCGCTGTCGCGCACATAATGAAAGAGATCAGAAAACATGCATTCTCTCAATGGTGGATAATGGTTGCAGCCAGCCGCAAGCAGTTCTTTGGTACAACCACCATGTATAGAAAGTCCCACAAACAGTCCTTGTACTCCATAGTGATTGTCAGACATAACTACAGCCACGTTTATGGCTGCTGCTAGGTCCATTTACAGCTTTGCCATCACATTGTCAGCTGCCTTGCAGCATCTTCATTGTTATTATCAGCGATTAGTCCATAAATCAATTAGTCGTCAATTATTAAATTAATCTGCAACTATTTTGATAATTCATTAATCGTTTTGAGTAATTTTATAAGAAAAATCCAAATCCAAATTTGAGGACCTTCTCAAATATGAATATTTTCTGGTTTCTTCAGTCCTCTTTGACAGTTGTGGACAAAACAAGACATATGAATCATGTTGCTTTGGGAAACAGTGATCACCAGTTTTCACTGTTTTTTAAAATATATTCTGGCCCAAAAAATTTTTGTCTTCTTTAATTAAGAGTGTAATAAAATTCTGAAAGTTTTCCCTCTCCTTAAGGTAACGTCTTCCATCTCCCTTGACTTAAATATGAAAAGATGTTATTTTGAAAGAAGCGGAATAATGTGACCTCAAATATCAATCTCCTGCCCTTGTTGACCACTTGTCTACTGTTCATCCCTGCCTTCTCACCCCTTGTTCCTCCTGCGTCCCACTCTTCTGCTGTTGATATCACTTCCTGTCTCTTGCAGCCCTCATTCCCCCCTGGGCAGCCCCCTTCTGTTGTGTTTGCCACCCCACCACCTCCACAAATGAACCCAACACCACAGTCCCGACAGGTAGGCCTGCCCGCTGCTCACCCACCCCACAGCGCACCCACAGTGGCGGACTTTGGTCCATTCCCGAAAAGAATTACTTCTTCCATCACATGTCAGAGAGAAATAGTTCATGGTCTTCCACACCAGTTATTGAGTTAACTTTTGTGGTGCATTATGAATCTAAAATGTGTCCTTTCAATTCCTAAACCTCACATTTGTCATGTGAGTGACAGACAAACCAATCAGGATAGAAAGTGTCAAGGCCTTTTCTTTCCACTGCAAAAGTTGCTGTGTGCAGTTTGGCATGATTACTGGTCACTGAAATCTTCCCAATGGAAACATATTTTACAATCTCCCAAATCCATATGTGAATTTCTTAGAATTCCTGCATGTCTCTCTGCCTACTTTTCACCAGTTCTGCACAATTACTAACTGTGAGCCTGGCCTTCATACTCTACCTCACAAAGTGTCACAGCTATATGATTTAAACTCTTTAACTGCTTAGTGCTCCTGACTGACAGGAAGAAATGCAAGCAGCCCCAACTGGATTTGATGTCATTTATTAGAGCTCAACCAATATGCCGGCAGACCCTTCTTTCTTCATTTAAGTTTTAATACATGTTTTGTCTGGAGTCTTATTTATAGCCACTTATCATTTCCAGTGTACAAGATTAAGCAGGTTAATTGAGTATTTGTTACAGTTTCAATATTTGTTGAAATGTGTAAAATGTAGGAGGATCTATTTCTACAGTAGCTCAGAACGGACAAACCAAAAACTGGTTCTAGATAGGGGCTTCCACTGTAGTGAGGTAAGGGGTTGTAATCTGCGACTACACCACTAGATGCCACTAAATCCTACTCACTGATCCTTTAGAATAGCATTGTTATATTGTTAATAAATTGGTAAGCAAGTGCCAGTTGGGTAAAAGAATGCCATATGAAAATTAAAGTGGGCATGGCTGTGGTTAGGTGCAGTTGTAAAGGTGCAGAACTGGAATGAGCCTGACAAGGTGAAGAGTAAAGCATGGATCTTGTGCTTTTGTCTTTAACCTCTGTACTGTCTGCCTCTCCTCCTCTAGTTTGCCCCAGGGCCCCGGCCTATACACCAACAGGTACTAACAGCACAACTGACTAACCTATATTGTAACACATATTAGAAGCAGTAGTAGATGGAGAGCCTCCTAAGGTGTGCTACAGGACTAAAACACATTTTTTGACCAAATACCTTGATATCATAATGTGATACCATTTTAAAGGTGACTGTTGTTGCTGTAAGGAAATATTTGTACATGAAACTATGGGAAACTTACAAGAATAGTTACTTTCCCAAACGTGACATGTATGCAACCCAATTAAGAAATTAAAGATTCTTCTGACAGATAATATTAATTACTGGTAAGGAATATTTAACATTGTGGGTTACACATGGGAATGTATTAACACTGTTGAAAACACTTGTTTTTTTAACGTTTGAAAAGTGCTCAGATTGCTATAATTGAAAGAAGTAAACATAGATGATTAATGCCCATCTTTCAGTTACAGTTTTTGTTCAAGAGTAACTACCGGTAGATCTAGTTTATTTGGATTCAGTGTTCTGCCTATTCTCTGCATGCTGCTTGTTAATTCACTGCTTGGCTCAGAACAGACAGTTTCTGGGGGCTTTGCTCTAACTGATTGTGGTGCTCTCTTTTTCACAATCCTTCTCTTCCCACCCTCTTCTTGCTTCCATTTGATGTGTCTCTGTGTGTGATCTGTGTTTGCGCTGCTGAAGGGAAGCTTCAGGTCGCTACAGGTAACTCAATTTCCGGTTTCTTCCAGTTTTTTTCCATCCCTTTTTTTTTCTCACCCTCTTGAGGAGTGCATATGTGTGTGTCTAATATTTGGCAACGTTGTGCTTTGTTGGCTCGGTGTCATCTTGCTGGCTACGGCAGTTAGCTCCCAGGACAGCAGCAGAATGTCAATGAGGAGTCTCTGAATGAACCAGCATTAGCTGTTTTATCTCTTCTGGCAGGCAGGGCCAATATGTTTCCAGTTGGAGTCCAGCCATAGATTCATGGACAAACTATTAGCCTAGCTTGTAGGCTGGACAAGCTAGCTCCACTTTTACCAAGAGATAAAATCCAACAAGGGCATGGGGGATGGTTTTTATGTCAGAGGTATTAGAAAAGTAACTAATAATTCCTGTATTTGTCTCTCTCTCTTCTACCCCTATTTTTATCCTTCTCTTCTTCTTGTTCTTGTGGCCTCTTTTTGTGTCTTCTCAATCACTGATCTTCCTCCTTGCTTTGTTCCTCTGCCTCCTCTCTAGCCCTTTTACACCAACAGGGCCACCCTGCCTCCCAACAGTGGGCCTCGGGGCGTCCCTCCCAGCAGTGGCCCTCGGCCTGTGACGCCCACCCATGTCTACCAGGCGGGCCCTGGCTCACAAATGATGATGATCCCTGGACAACAGTTGCCCTTCCCCAGCTCACCACAGGGACCTGCCTACTTCATACCGGGACAGGTAGGGGGCACAAACTGGGCGTAGTTCAAGTACTGATGCTGCCAAATCTTCTTCTTACCCGAGCCAGATGGTGTAGGGACAGCTAACGTGACACCCCCGACAGAATTTCTCCTGATAACATCTCTTTCAAATCGAGCTTTTTCTTTTTGTGTTTTTTTTAGTTTGAATACATTCTGTAAACAATGTATCCACAAAATATTGACGTACCTTTTAATGGCCTAAAGCAGGCCTATGTTTGCACTCATTATTTAAACTGCTTTTATGACCGTATCTAAAAACACTGTTTGTCTCTCCTCCCTAACCCTTTCTCCTCTCTTCTTTGTTTCATTAGTACCGGTCAGCAACCTATGTGGCCACACCCCAGCAATACCCAGTCCCAGCAGGCACCCCAGGTTACTACCCAGGCACCAGCCCCGCTGAATATGGTACTTACGGTAAGAGGCTCTACCTGGGGCCTCACCTGAGCCACACACACACACACACACACACACACATACACACATACACACAGACATACAGACACTGCAGAATTTTTACCTGACACAGGTCCAGTGTGTAGGATTAAGTGGCATTTAGTGATGTAGTTGCAGATCGTACCTCGTAAAAAAAAAAAAAACTATTCCTATATTCAGGTGATTATACACTAATGAAAACATACCTATGAATATTAGTCTTTTTCTGACAATAGATCATCCTAAATGTTACACACTGGACCTGTAATTGGTCAGCAATGGTTCTCTAATTTATTCAGTTAACCATCATTAGAGAGCCAAACGGGTATAAAACTGAAAAGTATCAGAACCACATAGCATGAAAATTTGTATTTGCATAATGTAATGCCAGGAAAATGTTTCAATGGTGCAATGTGGCAAGTTAACTAAAGTTACTTTTCCACCGCATGGTGTCCATTATGGACAGTACCTGGTATGCTTTTTTTGGTACCACCTCTGTCAAGGTTCCAACAAACTGACCTGTTATTACAAGGTGACATGAAAACACTGCAGACCACTGATTGGCAATGCAACATGACATCCTACACAATTTAAAAAAAAAAAAGGTATTTTTTATTTATTCATTCAATAAAAAATGGCAGGCCGCATATCCACCCCATGGTCAATTGACAAAGTGCAGACATATCAAGAATGCCATACCTCTACATCCTCTGTTCAAAGAGTGGTAGCTCCTTTTTGTGTGCGTAGTTAGTGTGTGGATGCAAGAGACTGCGGGCCGTGCAGAGAAAAAGAGAGCAGTGAATTTATCATTCTGGCAGTAAATGGACAGTGTTGTTTACATTTTGTTAGTGAATGTAAGCTGCAGCTTCTCAAAGACCAAAATAAAGCTCCTGTGTGTTGTCTCCTAACTGTGTTGCCATGACAATTGGCTCTACCTAGGTTTAGGCGGTATTATCTATATAAGTATAATATAGATAATAGTATGTTTGTATAGTAGTGTGATATATAGGTACCACATGTAGTGGTAAATGAAGTAGAGGTACCAAAAGTGCAGTAAGTAACCAGTCGAGCTGTACCATATATCCAATCCAATCCACTTTATTTGTTAAGCACTTAAAAACAACCAAAGTTGACCAAAGTGCTGTACAGGAGAATAAATAAGACATCATAAATGTAAACAAGTGATGGTGATGATGAAGACCACTGTGAGGCTATAAACAGTGATGGCGATAACACTGGAAAGTTTCCCGTGGCACTAACATGGACGAAGTCCGACGGCGGACAAGCTCGATGTCCGGCTGCAGACACGCTCTTTCACACAGACCTGCCCGGCGTTACACCACCTTTGTTATGAGCACGGCCAGTCCCCCTCCTATAGTGGAAATGCATCTAAAGGTAGCCAAATGTAAAAATCTGCCAAAATAATTAGTAGTGTTTTTTGATGACTTGCACATCACATCAGTAAAGGCAGTTGTTGAGGTCCATTTTTGAGATCTATTTTTCATTTTACCTCTCAGCTCCACTTTTCAGCAGTCTCTGTAGTCCTGTTATTTTTCACATTTGTTGTGATCCTCTCAGTTGCTCAGGAAATCTGGGCTTTGTCCATCTGTTACAGTGTTTTGGCCTTTAGCTAAGCTATTGTTTGAGAGCCTTCTTGTTTGTTTAGTATTTCTTTTCGTATCAATGTTTACAGAAAAGCATGTCTTCCTTTTAATAAACCACACACGTATGATATTGCTCTTAATTACGGCCATATTTATCTGAAGTCAATCCCAGAATTCACGTCAACGCATCTGACCGGTCTTGTTGCTTAGGACACTTGTTATTATGAAATGAGAAGTAATAGACCCGTAGGTTTAGACGTTGGATTGAAACTCATTGTACTTGCTTAGGATCTGTACCCTATTATGCACACACACGCAGCTGTTTGGCTGTAAAGAAGACGAAGTAGCAATGTGTGTTTTCATGTAAGTTCCTCCGAACCAAAGAACAACAACATCTCTCTAGAGTCATTTGTGCACTGACATTCAGCAATAACACAGGGAGAAATCAGGAGAGATTACTTTCTTCCTTTCCAACATAGAGCATATGGCCATAATGAAATACAGTTAGTGTTGTGTTGTCATTGAGGGGTGTGGCTGGAATTAAAAATGGAAAATGTTAAAAGTTGCTGACTATCATAGCATGTTAAGCCAAATGGGCACTCCAGAAAGGTGAATGAAAGCACGTCAGCCTAAAATAACATCTGCATTGAGCATGAATGTTTGATATGTTACAGTATTATAGCATGTTTCTATAATACACTCAAGGAATGTAGCTATCATAGTTCACACACATGAATACACATGAAATACACACATGAAAGTCTTTTAATTTGGGTTTATTTATTCCAAACATACTCTGTTGTCTTATTACTTCACATCTCCTACTATATACAGTAACACTACAGATGTTTGCAGTTGATCCCATGTGTTGGCACACCCTCTAGAGGTGGCTGAGAGTCAGTACACCACAAGAAGTGATGATGCCCTGAAAACAAACTTGCTGACCCCCCACTAGCAGGCATCTGAACTATGTGTAGTCTTTGTTTAAACTGTAGTTCATCATCAATAGAAGGCACTGGCCTGAATACAGCACTGTAAGGCCTATTAGGCTATCTATGTCATGTTCTTTGCACATCAGTGTATGTGCACTGTACACTGCATGGTGCTTGAACAATACCTCTGCACCTGCGTATGCATGTAACTAGAACTAGAAATTTAAAAAAATGTTTGCTATTGTTTGTGGGTGAATTCTAACCTCTGTGTCTATTGTTTTCAGATAGTAGTTTGTTGACCTAGGGCAACAATACTTTTGATTTTAAAACAGAAGTGTAACTGAAGTCAGTGAAGAAGAGATAATGTAGAAAATGTGTCATCAAATATCAAATAGCTAAAATTCAGCCTAGATCATTTTATGCATTTTGATTTTAGAGCTCCCTCTAAACCTGTAATGTAAACCAATGTACTTGGAAGTAATTTGAGTGTCTGACTACGTCATGTCATGCCTTGCATCATGATTGTTTATTGATTTTACACTGACTTTAGGCTCACACCTGACCAGTGACTACAGATAAAAACTAGCCTTTTGGCTAATACTGGAATATTTACTGCAGTGTTTGTCAATGTGCACTGTCCTTGAGGAAAAAAATATAGGATCAGATCTTTGAGCCTGAGATGACCTCAGACAGTATCAGTTATTAGTCTTTGCATTCATTTCATTTTGCTTGTTCACATTAGAGTGACATTCATGCTTTCCCCTCAGTCATTAACATTAATCATATGATGACAGGGCTAGTTTAAAGGATGCAATGACTTAACTTAACTGAATTGTATGTGGTATACAAGTACAATTCTTCCAGTGTAATGTGGAAGATTCAGGTTTCCATGTCCACAAAATGTGTGTTGGGTCCTGAACCAATCCTCTGACAGCCCTCTTTACTGGACTTAATATTTTATTGCTGGTCTGTATTTTGTTCTTTCCAATCCAACACCACGGTCCATGTTCTCAGGGTTCATCTGTGTGAACCGCATCATTCTCAATAGGAAATAAATAACTGCTCTAGACTGTGGATAAAATATAATTGCTTAGTTGCAAATACATCTTTAGTGTAAATGTATGATCTGAACGCTGCTGCTCTGGGGGAAACTCAAATAAATAAATGTCTTTTTTTTAACTATCATAAATTGTAAAAACGTGCTATTGAAAACCCACATCAGTTTAAGCACAATGGGAACACTTCTGGATCTATACTTTTGACTGAAATTCGACAGGCTGCACATAAACAGGAAATGCTAATTGGAGAACAATGAATCACCTCTGAAATACTTGCTGCCCTTTCTTCATATCTTAGTGGTATATCTTAGATTTCTGTTAGGTTTATTGATGTGACTCTGCCAGGCTTAGTGCTAATTTAATCGATTTCTATTTGTTGTCAAGATTACTTACTCTCTCAATAGCAGGCTACTGTTGGAGGGCTATTTATGCCAGATATTTGTATGACGTCACAGGACATAGCGTCCCATGTGTTTATGTTGGCGGCTGTGTCACATTGGTCATTTTGAAAGTCACATGGTATGTCATTACATGATGTTGGCACATGACCCTAAATAACTGGTCATGTGACAGTGAGACATGGCTCCACTCTCTTATGGGCTTGACCACGATACTGGCTTTGAAAGTGCAGGGGTTTTCAAGGGCTGCTTGAGATTTCCACCATGTCACAGAGGAAAGGCAGTGATACAGATATACTGGCTATCTGGATATGATGAGGCTTTTTGCCTTAAGGACCTATAATGCCCATCATAAAGTTCTGGTATGAGCATAGTAACAATCCCAGAAGATCATTCCAGCACCCCCTCTGGACCTCTAAGTGGTGCAGTCTCTCTAACCACTGAGTCCTTTTCTAGCAGTCACATAGAAACACACACACATACGCAGTGCTGACAGAGTACAGTGACTATTTTTAAGACTCCCGCCCCCCAAGACGAGTGATTTGCTTAACTTTTCCTTCATACATGTACATACATACAGCCCCACCCCCTTTGTAGTAGGTTGTGACTTCTTTGCCCGCATGAATCAGATCACTTGTCCAGGACGGAGAGATAGGGGAGTCTTCAGGCAAACAGGGCTAAACTGAATGACACAACTTAATAGCTTTGCTTTCCTGCCAGTACTCCCTAGAGAGGGGAAAGGGAAAGGGTGGGAGGAAGGTGGAAAAAAGTGAAAGGCAGGGAGGAATCAGGAAGGTCAGAGGGAGGAGCAAAATGCAGACACGCTGGAAGAGGGGAGGGCCGAGCATTAAAAGAAGTCATTCTGAGAGGGCACCTGTAGAGAGGACGGGAAGAAGTTAGAGAGGGGGTTTGAAGAAGAAACCCCCTCTCCTTTTTCTGCCCATACGCAGTTTTTGCATTCAGCATGGGGAACCGTGGGTCTCAAGAGCAGAAGGACTCTGAGGGTAGGTGTCTTCTAGAAAAAGTGTCTGTTTGCAGCCCCTTCCCATTTGCTGTCTCAGTCTGTTGCACTTTGTGAGTCATATCTCAGTCCTCTTATTTACATCGGGACACTGTCCAAGAAAAGTCTCAATCTGGGTTTTGGGTTTTGAGCATGCTCCCATTCTCCCTCTCTCCGTCCTCGTCTGTCTTCCCTCCCTTTCCCTCTTGCACGCTCTCTTCCCCCAGCCGGTGTGGGGTTTTGACTATATTTAGGCTGTGCTGCTCCTGGTCAACAATGCAGACTCAGTAATGTGAGTTAGACTGAAATGCCTGAAGAGGGGGGAGAGAGGCAGAGCAGGAGCTAGCTACTGCCGGTCTGAAAGGGAGGCCTCTTCAACCTGAGGTTTTTTTTTTTTTTTTAACCCCTGTCCTTTGAAAGTGGGCTACAACTGGTTCTGAACTGTAGTCGAGGCCATTTACTGTACAAGGCCAGGTAATATCACTGAATGCTTGGTTTTGTTGACATTATTGACTGGTTAGGCTAATAGAGGTTCTTTGAACTTGAAACCTATTTTTCTTGGTCATGTTGGCAGCGGCTTTCTTGACAAATTGGTGAATGTGATAAACATCCATGGTCTTAAGAAATGGGGACACCAATGCAGGGCTGGGTGGAGGGAGAGACTGCTGTGTCATGGTCTGAAGGCCTACATGTGAGGGCTTCCAGTTACTTCTGTCTGCTTCTGTTAACTTGCATTCAGATACAACAAGAAGGGAGATTTTCAGATAGCACAAACGCATACAAAGTCAGTGGAAAGGTACAATTAGAAGCAGATTTGAGGCAGTGATGTCTGTTCAAGTAGATTTCTGGAACCATCAGGATTGAGGGCAACTTGCAGGTATCTGAAGATGTGTGTAGGCAGGGTTAGGGTTGGAAAAAAAAAACCTGCTTGAAAAGAAGCAGTTGGAGTCTGTGGTATTTTTTCAAAATGTTAAATTGCAATCAGCTGATGTCAGTCACTGGTTACTCAGACTGCATGAGAACATGGGCTACAAAATCACACATGTACAGGTGTAGAGCTGAAAGGATTTTTCACTGTTTTTTGACAGTCTGGCTATAGGGCCAGACATTAATAACAACATGTTTCAGATGGAATGGTTTGTGCAAAACATTTTGACCTGGTATTTAATTAAATCATTTAATAAGCTGATTGATGACTGGGTCTGAATGTTCACAAACAAGACCATACGCAAGAAGATTGGCTATTTTTATATAGATAATGCCTGCCACTGAGTTTGTTTCGGAAGAATTCCCATTTAAATCAATGAAATGAGATATGTAAACACTACCCCTTTTGTCTACAGGAGCCGCCTTGTTCCTTCTTGTTGCTTTAAGTCCCCAACCTCTTTATTTATTTATTTATTTATTTTATTTATTAATGTCATCACACAATGGTTATTCACTTATTAACGTAATCCCTTAAGAGTCCCCTGTCCAGTTTTGACAAAGAGTTGTGGCAGTAACACTGAAATGCTGCTGTGTTCTAACTTTACAAGCTCTCACCTGTAAGGTGTCTCTACAGTGTCTACAGGAATATCGTCTAATGTATTTACTTAAACATTTTTTTTTAAATTTTGTAATCTAGGAAGTGAAGTTTAATGAGATTGTACGTTGTTCTTTCTCAAGCATTTGATGGATGCCTAAAGTGTAACACACCCTCACATGGCAGTGAGAAGACTTTAAAAAGGTGCAGTTACCTCATTATATCTTCTGTGGACATAAAACAGCAGCTGCTGCACTATAAATCAGGAAGAAATCAAACCTTCACATTTTAGATGCAGCTTTTCTAACTGCCTCAGAGTAGGCTTTAGAACATTAGCAGTATAGACTATAATGTTGTTGTGTAAACATTAGCCGTGTACTGTTAACCATGTGCGTGTCTGTGTGTGTTTGTGTCAAGTTATGGTTATAGGATTAAGTCAGTATCTGTTGGTTTACATTCTTCTCTCTCTCTGATCCACTACAGGGGCCTACTACCCCGCCCAGCCTCAGTACACCCCCCCAGTGCAGGCGGCACCCGTCATTATGAACCCTGCCCCTCAACAGCAGCAACCACCACCTCAGCCTCCCCAACACATCCCCACCAAACGGGAACGTAAACAGGTACAGTCACAAAACGTCTTACACTTCGAAATGGCTTATCGAGAATGGCTATCTGGCTCAGCATTTCCATACTGCCTACTTATGATACATATACTAACATCAGCAGAATTAATGGTAATGTCAATAGGAAAGTAATACAGACTTAAAAGAACAGTTCCCCTAAAATGGAAAAGTTTGTTATCAGCCCTGTTTGGACAAGATCTGTTTATCAGTGTAGATCAGGTACTGTAACTGGCACTATTATTTTATGTTAGTTCCGTCTGGTTACATTATATGTGTGTTTTCTGCTCTTGAGAAAAGTTCAGCCCCACACAGCTACTGTGAAATAAACTCAAGCTTTATCTGATAATTTTAGACCTATCTGCGACATCTGCACATACATCCTGGTGATACTGCAAACTAAGAGCCAAATTGAATGATGGAAAAAGGTTTCAGCATTGCTATGTACTGTATTGAATGCATACATGATTGCATGCAAGACACTAATACATCCAGGTACACACAACTGTCAGTCTCATCTTTAAACTTTTAAACTGAGTGAGGAGCAAAGATACATTTAGGTAAAGTGTGCTAGTGTCCCTTAATATAGCTATTGACAACTCATCCTAATGTTGGTCAAAACTGTTGTTTCTACAAACTAAATTTGACTCAATTTATATTAGCACTTTTGAATAGAGCTTTAAACTATATAAAATCTGTCCACTTGTGTTGTTTTTTAGGTTGGTTGAACTATTAGGTTGCTTTCTGTGGCTCCAGAGGGAGCTGTGTGAAGTCTGATACGTGTCAGTTGGGTCTGAAGACAATAAAGTTTAAAAAATTTTAAAAATCTGGTGGTGTGGAGTTCAAAGAATTGAGCTTACCAGACCTCAGTTTCCCACTTCTCATCTCTGCTTGAGGCTAGCACCTCGAAGGCTACATTAGCCACTACTTGCATAACACACCTGAATTTCTGACTGAACTGGTTAAGTTGCTATGAGGGTATTCGAGTAGTAGTTGGCAGTGTGAAAGAAAAAATAATGATATCTATGATTCTGCTGCATCAAGTTTGTTCCTTTTTTCCCCCCCACAGTGTTATAGGAATCCAATGCTAAATCAGTGGAGTACTCTTTTAATATTAAAAGTGTTTATTAATGGGCCAAAATACACGATTGTTGGTTAAAACTGTACAGATTGATAATTTTCTGAATGTCACTGTAGGCATCAAAGGAAATGTGGCATGTGGAAGATCAATGTTTCGGATTGACCACTTCAAGAGTCGTTCATTTAACATCTCCTTTGCAGTAGTATAGACAACCCAGCTAGTCAGTGGTGTTGCAATCTTTCTGAAGATCATTCTAGAATCATTCTTGAGTCTCAACATGGAGTTCAGTTTACTGATTGGCACAGGTAGTAGTGAGCATGACCTTAACTTGGTGTGATGTAAGGCTAAGCTGCTGTATGATATATTGCCCAAGTTCTACAGTATGTCTAGTGTTTCCTTTGCTTTCTAAGATGGCCCTTGCCTGGTATGTGGTAGCTCTCTGTGAACTCTAGACCCAGTTTGTGCCTCTCATATAATCATCGTTTCTGTCATGCCGGTTACATTTGAGAATTTTTAGACTTTCCAGAATCCTCCAAGACTCTTTTATCCAATTAAAAAGAAAAATATTTAGTCTACTTCATTGTTGAATTGTTTTTAAACCTGTTTCAAATGGTGTAGCTTCAAGGTGTAACTTCATCTTTGTTCAACCAAAGATTGCAGCCAAAGTGACATAATGTCCTTGTTTTTGAGTATTTATATTTGAGAAAAGCTAAGGAATATACTCTGAAACAGCTATCAAAGTCTCCAGTGTAAAAATTCATAGTAACAGGAGAAGCACAAACGTGAACAGTGAATGGTTTTTCCTTCATGCGCCGTCCATCAACTTTGTCTGTGTGACTGTGAATCTAGTTTTGGCTAGCTTGAACCTTTTTGTGTGTTTAGGTAACTTTTCTGTTTGTCTTTATCTGATTAAACTTCCCAAATCCAGTATATGCTTTGTTGAAAGAAATATGATGACATTGTTTGTAGTTTGTATGTAGAGCCCTTCATGTATTAATATTAGTATAGTGTAAATACTTGAAGCTGTTACCAGTATTACCAGGAAATGCCTTTTAGTGTTAAATGCTGGGACTCTGTTCTTTTGCCACAAGACTTGCATGATGTCAAGTCCCTCTCTCTGGGGAACTTGGCTGCTTATCAGCAACTGTGGTTGCCTGGGGTGGACTTCGGCACATTCCCATGGGCCCCAGCCGGTGCTACAACGTTGGCTTTAAGGCCCTTCACTGTCTCTGTGACACAAATCCACACAAAATGTAAACTCTCAATGTAAACCTTAAGATGACAGATGACTTGAGTCAGTGATGTTAGGCATAATATTGTATGTAAAGGCTTTTGTGTTGAAGTGTGGGTGTGTGTGTGCATGTGTACACACCACAAGCTTTGCATTCTTGCTTTTTGAGAATGATGAGGTTGTGTGTCTGTCAACAGGACACAAGCTAGAGCCCTCTGTGGGTAATCTGTGGCCTTCCATTTACAAGACAGTGTATGTGCAACCGCAAGGTCCACACCCTCCTTTATGTAGTTGTATGCAGGTCACATAGAGAAAGAGAGACTGTGTGTGTGTGTTTGAACTTTCTGGTTCTTAAAATGAGTATTCAAGTGTTTTCTAGCCTAAAATGTTTTTAATTTCCACCATTTACCTTTTCTTTTTTGGCCTTTTGCAAATTGCCCTTATTCTACTTTTCTACTCTCTTGCTCTCCCTCTGTGTCAAAGAGAAAATCTAGAGGGGAGGGGGTGAAGGACATGTCAGCACATAGCTCAGCTCCACGTGGCCACCGGTCTCCTCCCCCTTTTGAGCCGGAAGGGCTAACCAACCAGCCTTCCTCTGCTGCTGTGGCACCCCCTGCTCCTCCTCGTCGTCCTCCTCCTCCTCCTGGTTTCCTCTGCTCTCAGAAGGGGTTGAGCATGAAAAAAGAAAATCTGAGGAGCAACTTGAGTGTGCAGGATGACCAGGCAGACAGAGAGAATGAGGAAAAAGGGGAGTTTCTACTGCTAGCGCCAGCTCATTTGATAAGGATAACTTTTTTTTTTCCTGGAAACCCTCCCACCACCCCTCCCCCCTACCCT